GGGAAACGTAAGGGACTTCATTTGTAATACTTAATTTGAGGAACCTATTTTGTGTATATTTTACACATTATTTCTTATATGTTTCAGTAGTTGTAAGGCTCAGTCTCCTTCATGGTATTTTCTGTTTTTCACTTTAACTTTCTTCATCATTGAGTTATCCATCACTTCTGTCTTTTGATATTCTCATTTTTTCCCCCTTTTTATTTTCGTCATTAGTTTTTAGATTTGGTAAGGCTCTACTTAGCTTTTGTAGTTATCATCAACCAATGAGAACTTGTCCTTTTAAAAAAGTGTTTCAATTGATTTTTAGAGACGAAGCAAGAGAGAGAGAGAGAAAGAGAAACATTGACGTGAGAAATAAACATCCATTGTTTGCCTCCCATACACACCCCTACTGGAGACTGAGCCCACAACCTGGGCATGTGCCCTGATGAGGAATTGACCTGGCGACCTTTTGGGGCATGGGGCAACGCTCAACCAACTGAGCCACACCAGCCAGGGCAGAACTTGTCTTTTTAATCAGCCAATTGCTTTTTCCTTGGTTCTTTTCAGCTATTTCTTCATAGCCAGATACAGCTTTTGCTACTTCTAATTTTGTGTATAGGAAGTTCTGGATGATAGAAGACACCAGGTATCCAGAGTACAAGTTTTACTGAATCAGAATTGCAGCTCTGCAAGAAAGTATCAAAATATAAATTTAGCAGGCTGCAACTTTTTAATGACTGACTTTATGACATATATCTATAAGACAAATTCTATATAATTCACTTTTAGAACTTAATTTTTAGGAATCTATTCACCCATTTCTAATATATTTCTTAAAACTAAGAGGAGAAATATGTAGATAGGTATTCTAAAGCATGTATCCTCTTAGAAATGTGATGGCATTAATTCCTGCCAGTGGCCAAGACTATGCTTTGTAGAATGAGAGAAGAGAAGGTTGTGGCAAGGGGTGAAGTAGAGCCTTGAGATATAGCCACTTTAGTATTCTGTTAGCTCTTAGAGTCTATAAGCTCTTTCTCCTACTACCAAGGCTGTTTCCTAGTCTCATTCCTTATAATTTTGTTATTTGGATTTTCATAGACAAGTAGGCTGGTAGGTTTAAGAAGTTATTTTAATGAATCTATGATCATATTCAGCAAGAATGAACTTTTTCTGCAAATTTCTTCTGCAATGGGCATTGCATTTTTTAAAATGTTGGGCTTGTCATAGTATTGTGGTGGAAGTGTTATTAGTATTTGTAATTATAAACCTGTAGGACTATATAAAAGTGTTAAGAGGGATAGCCTTTCTGAAATGTATAGTACCCTTATTTTTGCATTTTCTGGAGGAAAGAAAAGCTGCTGCTCCTCGGTATGATTGTAAGTTGTGTTAGAAAGAAGTGACTTGCTATTTGGAAGAATGTGAATGCCATAACTGGTTCTTCCCATGGTCATTTTTGGTTGAGTACACTTTCTTTCCTTTCCTTATGTAATAAATATATTCGTGAAAGTTTGATGTGTATCGGATTATATTAAATGTTTTCAAAACATATGAATTTAAGTTAAGACATAGTCCTTATATAAGTGAATTATGTACTTTGAATTGTAGAGATATGAAGTAAATTAAATAGTGTGTTTATTTAGAAGGGAACATGGTGTCCTTTTTTAGGTTAATTACAAAAGAGTTCCTCTAGGTGAGTTTTAGGTAGAATTCTAAAGGAACAATAAAGGTAGGTGGGAGAAGTTAGTAGAGTTGGTGAGAAAATTTGAGAAGGGTGCAAAAGTAATAAAATTGGTTCTTTAGTATGATAGCCACTGTGCAGCAGTAGTCACCTGCTTTTACCTTGCTTCCACATGAAGACATAATGATTTACTAGTACAGGGGAGGTCTTCTGCCCTGCCCTGTCCTAGACTATAAATTGGCCATGGGTCTTTACATGGCCAATTTGTGGATCAGTAGTTTATATTTGAAGAAATGGTAATAAGAGGGTGGAACATTTCTCTGCATTTGAGGACTCAAGGGCACAGGGAAACAAAAAGCTTTAAGTATTTAGTTATATATCTCTCTTTCTAGCTCTGGCTTTCCTTTCACTGAAGAGGTATGGCTTTTATTCTAGAGGGAATGTGCCTATCCTGTCCCAAGCCAACAGTGATATGTGGCCCCTAACGAGTGTACCTGTGGGGAGAGCTTTGGTCGTCACATGGGTGAATATGGGAGGGCTTTCCCCCATTTATAAGTGGGTTGTTTTTGTTTGCTTTGTGTGCTGTGCTGTTGGGTTTTCTCCTCTGTTTTCCCTAAGTTGAGCTTTAAGCTAATTCTGTACAAAATTCTGTACAACTAATTAGTTATTTTTATAAATTGCTTGCGATTAATGCCTGATAATATGCAGTAAAATAAGGTATCTGCATACCATTATGTATGTCAAATATTACAAACTTTAAGGTTCTTTTGAAATTATAATACTAAACTCAGTTCACTTTTGCTTAGCCTTCACAGTTGTTGATCACATAGCATGGTCATCCACTCACAGCTTAAAAAAATACAGGGAGCATCGGAGAGAATGGGTAAAGTAAAATTTTGATGTTTTTAAAATAGCACCTAAATCTGTGAAAGTTGATTTGAATTATTGTTTGTATGGGAGGGAGAGGGTGGGTAGCATTGGAGGGTGGGGGTGGGTATTGGGAAAATAGCATGCACCATGTAAAATGATATCAGATACCATCTGGGCTAAGGTTTTAACTACAGTTTAAGTCTAAGTCAGTTTCAGAAAAAGGCAGGACCATAAAATGGCAGTGTTGAGATTTACAGTGTGCTTAAAAATTTCCCTTCCAACAGATTGAAGGGGATTTGGAGAATAGCAGTATTTGAGTATAGTTTGGGCAGCACCCTTCTTTTTAATGGTCATATTCCCTGAGTGAAACTGTCTCAGTACCACTTAGGCTCTGTTGCATTACTTAGAGACCCCAAGAGGAATAATATGCATTTCAGTTTTTATTGTAAACCTGTGACTCAGGTGTTCCCAAATAAAGGTTATAATTCATGAAACTCATGAAGGGGTTGAGTTGCTGGTAGGAAATATTAATAGAAAATTTGATGCTTCCATTTAAATTCTAAAAACTTAACATTATAGTTATGTACAAAGTCTAATGAGTTATTGTGGAGCTTATAGAACAGAGAGGCATGCATGTGGTTATGGGTAGGACATTTTGTTGTTAAAGCAAATAACTTGGCCTAGTCTCTGCCCCATTATTTTTAAACTTCTAATTTTTTCACGTTGTTTACACACAAAATCTGGATTGAAGAGAACAATGGAAAAAATTATTTCTTTTTCCTTTGGTCAAAGTCCTATTTTTTCTTTAAAATTTGGCTACTCCTTATATGAAGCCTTTCCTAACCTTTCCAGTCCTTGGTGGTCATTCTAGTCTTAGAATTCCTAAGTACTTGAAACATCAGTTTGGCACTTGGATCAGGCTACATTGTATATTACTTGCTACTTCATTTGAATGTCCTGTTTCTCTTAGCAAAATCATGGACTCCTTGAGGGTACAGAGCTTGTCTTCTATGCCTCTTTGTAACCCCATTGTCTACCACAGAGGATGTGTTCACTAATAGGTTTGATTCTATGATTTCAATCCGATAATAGTGTAACAGGGTAATAGTTTTTTCTTACTTTAGGTTATTTTTATATGAATATATTCCTAGAACACCCAAAGATAAAATACATCGAATGCATAAAATAATTCCTTGCATTATAAGGAGATTTGATTCATATTTGTTCTCTATTGATTGTAGTCTCCCCCTCCCCTCCTTTTTTCCCCCCAAATGGGCGCTGTTTTACCTAGTTTTGAAAAATATGGTTTGGGCCAGATATCTTGATAGAAACTAAAATTACTGGTATTTTTATTTTAAAATGTTTTTGTTGGTTTTAGCCAAAGGATACTTTTATGGTGTATGCCCAAATTTATTAAGTACTTCATGGACATGGTAATATAGCCAAATTATTTTTAAAAGTTTTAAGTCTCTTAAGTAAAACTTTAAAAATACCAATAAACAGATACTCAGTTGCTAGTCCCTCTCGGGGTGTTTCTGTATCTCAAATTACTAGGGATTTTATTATTTTGTTTTTAAAAGTTTCTATAACGTATAGGCTGATTTTTGATAGCTGTGCATATTGTGTTTACTACAGTTATCAAATGTATAAAGAGCAATCACTTAAATGCAATGAGAAGGTATTTTAAATACTTTTTGGTGTTTATAGAAACTGATTTCTTTTAAAGCTCATCAGGGATGTTTGCTAAATTGATACTTGCAATTGTTCATATTTTATCTGACAGCTGTGTCTTCAGGGCACATGTCTTAGTATTAGATTTAATGTTGTGATTTCTGAAGCAAAAACAGTCGCCCTACTTGAGATGTTTGATTGGTAAAACTTACTGAATCTTGATTTTATTTTAAGGCCTGGTTTATAATCTTTTAGCCATTATTTTGACGGCACTGAAACGACATTGCTATTGCATTACTGAAAAGCGTAGATACATGTAGCAAGGGGACTTCTAGCTATGGAAGTTTTTTTATTTTTTTTCCCCTCAGCTTAAAATATCATCTTTAAATTTCTTAGCATAATTTGGGTGCAGATTTAAAATTAAAAAAAATTTTTTTTACATGCCAAGAAGCAAAAAGCCTGTAGTAAGCATTGCCATTTTGTTGTGAGCTTATCATAGTATCATTCTAACAAGAGTGCAAGACCCTCACTAAAGTCTGAATGAAATAGATCTTTTAAAAAATCTTTAAAAACCCCAGTTGGCCCAAAGACCACTTTTGAGAGCTCCAGCCTTGGACTTTTACCTATGGTTGGGTATATTCTTCTCTAAGATTACACACTTGTTAAGTCAATATTTTAAAAAAAAAAAACACCCTGATTTTGTTCACTTTTGTTTTCATATACAAGAATCTTTACAATCACCATGTACATCTAGATGCTGTATTGAAATTGCTGGCGGAGTCTATTCTATACAAACTGAACAATCTGGCCCCTTGTTTTATTTGTAAAGGTTCAATGTATCTATGCCTGACTACTTCAATCTGCAAGGGAGTGTCAGAAAGGCCCCGCATTCGCCGAGCCGTGAGTTATTGCTAACTTTTCAGATGTGTTAATGAATGTGGAACAAAAGCAGTTGTGTTTAAAAGGAAAAAAGGATCAGTAAAATTACCTTTATTATAGTAGCAGGCGTGAAAAATAAATGAATTATTCCACATTGTGGTGTTGGAAATAACCTACTTTAACTAGAGACTAGCCTCTAGAAAACCTATTGTTGAACTGCTCTGAAGCTATCATTTTAGCTATAAATTACTCTTCTTAAAAATACATATTTCCTGCTTACAAATCAGACTTACAATTAAGTATTTTAACTACATTAAAACAATTTGAACAAAATCTTACCCCACCCAAAAACGACTGTATTTAGTTGTTTTAGTTAGTTGACTCTTCAAAATAAGACCACATAAAAGGGGTAAAGTTTTAACCATTTTTGTAATTCACATGTGAAAAACAGAAATTAATTCAAATAATTGAATCACTTCCTAGGTGAAAGTTTTTGGAGTGCCTCAGGCATCATGTGAAGTACAGATGTGTTTACAATCTATTTTGGTACCAACAGTTCTCGCTTCAGTAATTCACCAGTAGGTTTTCATTCATCAACGATGATATCAATTGAAGGGTAAAATAAAAACACATTTTTTTTAGGGCTACCACTCTACATAAAGGAATTGTCATTAAGAGTTTTTTCTTTTTCCAAAGAGGTTCTAAGCAAAAAAAATTACAACTGCCATCTATATTTTGTTATTAGAGGAGTTAGTTACCTTTTGTTCCTTAGAATTTGTAAATTTTTTAGTGGATAGGCATCACTAGCAGGTTGGATGCTTCTATTGCTTAGGAGGTGTATTGTGCTATATGAAGACAGAATTTAAATGTTAGGCCATATATAGCACAGGCTACATAAAACTTGGAGGTGTGGGGTCTTTGGAGGCATTACAGTTAACTTTTCATTTAGGCAATATGCCTTTGTTTGACTGGTGTGTAAGTCCTTCTTCCAGGTTTGTACACTCTTAAACACGTTATTCTACCCTCTCTAACTCCTCCCAGCAGCAAAAGGGAGACACTTCAGCTGGAACAAAATAGTGGAAGAAATGGCGTCTGGGGTTCAGTGGGGATTCGCAGTGTGTATGCAATATTTGCAAGATTACTTTTTATGTTTTTCAGTTAATTAAATAATTACAAAAGAAATCAATGCTTAGTGTCAAGTAGGGAATGTTGTATACTGGTAGAACTGTCCTAGTGGGTCTACTGCAAGTCGCTTAACCTCTCCAGGCCACAGTTTCCTCATCTGCAATGTGAAGGAGTTGGACAATAATCCTT